GATTTCCACAAAAACCTCTTAACAATGATTGGTCAAACACCACCCACGGACCCCACGCCAAGCCCAGCCCAATGGCCAATATAGTATAAATTCTCTGTTTGACAAGTTGTATGAAGCTGTGTATTGTTTCTTCATACTATGTAATGTATTCTCAGTGAATTTGATCAGAGATCAAATTCTATTTCAACAAAATAAGGTTTCAGGAATACTAATCGTATATGTTACTAACTACAGAACCAATTTCGGAGCAATCTGAGATGGTGGGTGTTGAAATCCTCTTGTGCTTTTTGAGGAGGAACGACCCCAGTGAGAAGCCATAGACAGTTGACCTCTGTCTTTCTCTATCTCCCCCTGCTGCAATGGGGCCTCCAGAGAGACTTTTATAAATACACTGTCAATTCAATTCAATTTCAATTTAAGGGCTTTATTGGCATGGGAAACGTGTGTTAACATTGCCAAAGCAAGTGAAGTAGATAGTAAACAAAAGTGAAATAAACAATAAATATTAACAGTAAACATTACACTCAGAAGTTTCAAAAGAATAAAGACATTTCAAATGTCATATTATGTATATATACAGTGTTGTAACAATGTGCAAATAGTTAAAGTACAAATGGGAAAATAAATAAACATAAATATGGGTTGTATTTACAATGGTGTTTGTTCTTCACTGGTTGCCCTTTTCTTGTGGCAACAGGTCACAAATCTTGCAGCTGTGATGGCACACTGTGGTATTTCACCCAGTAGATATGGAGGTTTATCAAAATTGGATTTGTTTTTGAATTCTTTGTGGATCGCTGTAATCTGAGGGAAATATGTGTCTCTAATATGGTCATACATTTGGCAGGAGGTTAGGAAGTGCAGCTCAGTTTCCACCTCATTTTGTGGGCAGTGTGCGAGGCTATGCTCACTGAGTCTGTACATAGTCAAAGCTTTCCTTAAGTTTGGGTCAGTCACAGTGGTCAGGTATTCTGCCACTGTGTACTCTCTGTTTAGGGCCAAATAGCATTCTAGTTTGCTCTGTTTATTTGTTTGTTCTTTCCAATGTGTCAAGTTATTATTATTTATAATTATTATAATAAGTAATTCTCTTTTTGTTTTCTCATGATTTGGTTGTGTCTAGTTGTGTTGTTGTTGTTGTCCTGGGGCTGTGTGGGGTCTGTTTGTGTTTGTGAACAGAGCCCCGGGACAAGCTTACTTAGGGGACTCTTCTCCAAGTTCATCTCTCTGTAGGTGATGGCTTTGTTATGGAAGGTTTGGGAATCGCTTCCTTTTAAGTGGTTATAGAATTTAACGGCTCTTTTCTGGATTTTGATAATTAGCGGGTATTGGCCTAATTCTGCTCTGCATGCATTATTTGGTGTTTTACGTTGTACACGGAGGATGTTTTTGCAGAATTCTGCATGCAGAGTCTCAATTTGGTGTTTGTCCCATTTTGTGAATTCTTGGTTGGTGAGCGGACCCCAGACCTCAGAAACATAAAGGGCAATGGGTTCTATAACTGATTCAAGTATTTTTTGCCAGATCCTAATTGGTATGTCAAATTTTATGTTCCTTTTGATGGCATAGAAGGCCCTTCTTGCCTTGTCTCTCAGATCGTTCACAGCTTTGTGGAAGTTACCTGTGGCGCTGATGTTTAGGCCGAGGTATGTATAGTTTTTTGTGTGCTCTAGGGCAACGGTGTCTAGATGGAATTTGTATTTGTGGTCCTGGCAACTGGACCTTTTTTGGAATACCATTATTTTTGTCTTACTGAGATTTACTGTCAGGGCCCAGGTCTGACAGAATCTGTGCAGAAGATCTAGGTGCTGCTGTAGGCCCTCCTTGGTTGGTGACAGAAGCATCAGATCATCAGCAAACAGAAGTAGACATTTGACTTCAGATTCTAGTAGGGTGAGGCCGGGTCCTGCTGCAGTGGGGCTTCTAGAGGCTTCTAGAGAGGCTTCTAGAGAGACCTTTATGTAAAATCCCATAGCGAAAGCTAGCTAAATGCTAACGAGCCCATTGCGAACATTTGATACAGTCTGTGACATTAACTATTTGCAGGACAGACATCCCAGCTCAAAGTTATACAAGTAACTAAAAAATGCTACTCACAGTTCACTGCGCACACAAAACAAATATTGGTACAGGAGGGGATTCTCTGCTGAGTGGCGCAGTGGTCTAAGGCACTGCATCGCATGTGCCACTAGAGATCCTGGTTCGATCCAGGCTCTGTCGCAGCCGGCCGCGACCAGGAGACTCATGGGCGGCGCACAATTGGCCCAGCGTCGTCCAGGGTAGGGGAGGGAATGGCCGGCAGGGATGTAGCTCAGTTGATAGAGCATGGCGTTTGCAACGCCAGGGTTGTGGGTTCGATTCCCACGGGGGAATGACTGTAAGTCGCTCTGGATAAGAGCGTCTGCTAAAATGACAAAAAACAAAAAAAAAGAAGCTAGATTACTAGCTGCTATATTAGCAAACCAAATGCACAACTGCAGAGCATTTAGCACATTTTAGACAGTTAACTGAATAGTTCTAAGACATCTAGCTGGCCTGTGCTGAACAACAGTGAGTGACTCACTAGGCTCAGGTCTCTTGTAGTTGTGTGCTTGTAAACACACACGTTGTGACTGGGGACTACCGGTAAGCTTCATCATGAAAAAAGTGACCGGTGAAATGAAGAACACGATCTGCGTTATATCCTAACGTGTTGCACAAGTTGACTGCAGGTATTTACTTAGAAAGTAGCTACAAATATTCAAATTTATAAAAAAACTAAATAAACAGTTTCAACGGTATTGAAAAACCATCCAGTGGCTTTTTCCAAATACCCTGGTATACTTCCCAAGCCTACTCTCTTCCTTCGTCTCTCTCTCTCTCTCGCTCGCTCGCTCGCTCGCTCATATCGCCTGGCACTGCTGTCGCAGACTGCCTCTTTCTCTCTGGGTAGACATGACACACTGAGCTTCGCTTCACTCTCTCTCTCTCTCTCTCTCGCTCTCATTTGTCAAGCTCTCTCTCTCCCTCTAGCTATTCTCTCTCTGACTCTGCCCTCCCTCTCTCCTCTCCCTGGGTCTAACCACCTGACACACTTAGAGGAGAAGAGCAGAGATGTGCCTCCGACAGCCAGAGGAGGTTAGCTGGCAGTTAGCTAGCATTATCGGTTAGCCTTTAGCCTGGCAGGACTTGAGTTGTGGTGGGGGGGGACTTTACCTCCAGCAGCTAGCAGAGGAGTGTGGTCTCCTCCCGGGGTTGACCAGACTGGGTGCTGGGACAGAGGGATGCCAGGGGGCTGTGTAAGGGCTGAGGTGCGCAAGGAGAAGCTGAGGAAGGGGGGCAGTCGCTCTGCCATCCCTGTCCTCTTCACCATCACTGAGGAAGAGGAAGGACAGAGAGGAAGAGGCGCACAGAGGAAGAAGAGAGGTATGGAGGAGGGTTTAGAGGGATGATGGAGGAGGGTTTAGAGGGATGATGGAGGAGGGGCTAGAGGGATGGAGGAGGGGCTAGAGGGATGGAGGAGGGGCTAGAGGGACGGAGGAGGGGATGGCTGCCTTTTTACGGGGTCCTAACCAATTGTGCTATTTTGTGTGTTTTTTTCACATTGTTTGTAACTTATTTTGAACATAATGTTGCTGCTCTTATGACCGAAAAGAGCTTCTGGATATCAGAACAGCGATTTCTCACCTCGAACTGGATGAAGATTCTTCATTTAATGAGTCCGACGCGAAGGATATAATGTTGCTCCCGGACAAGACCCAAATCCCCGTCATTCACATTAAGAAAATAAGGAAATACAGCGGGCGGAGATCAGGGTGCCTTCTGACAATTAGTCGGCGAGTGGGTAACCCGCCTCTACCATCCGTTCTATTGGCCAACGTGCAATCACTGGAGAATAAACTGGATGAGCTTCGTTCGAGACTATCCTACCAACGTTACATTAAAAAGATTAAGGTTATCCTACCAACGGGACATTAAAAACTGTAATATCTTCTGTTTCACTGAGTCGTGGCTGAACGACGACACAGAGAATATACAGTTGGCTGGGTTTTCCGTGCATCGGCAGGACAGAATAGCTACGTCTGGCAAGACGAGGGGTGGGGGTGTGTGTCTATGTGTCAATAACAGCTGGTGGCGATGTCTAATATTAAAGTAGTCTCGAGGTTTTGCTCGCCTGAGGTAGAGTACCTCATAATAAGCTGCTACCGTACGGCAAGCGGTACCGGAGCGCCAAGTGTAGGTCAAAAAGGCTCCTGAACAGCTTCTACCCCCAAAGCCATAAGATGCTGAACAATTAATCAAATGGCCACCCAGACTATTTGCATTGACCCCCCCCCCTTGTTTTTACACTGCTGCTACTCGCTGTTTATTATCTATGCATAGTCTCTTTACCCCTACCTACATGTACAAATTACCTCAACAAACCTGTACCCCCGCACATTGACTCAGTACCGGTACCCCCTGTATATAGCCTCATTATTACCTGGACTAACCTGTACCCCAGCCCATTGACTCAGTACCGGTACCCCCTGTATATAACCTCATTATTACCTGGACTAACCTGTACCCCAGCCCATTGACTCAGTACCGGTACCCCCTGTATATAACCTCATTATTACCTGGACTAACCTGTACCCCAGCCCATTGACTCAGTACCGGTACCCCCTGTATATAACCTCATTATTACCTGGACTAACCTGTACCCCAGCCCATTGACTCAGTACCGGTACCCCCTGTATATAACCTCATTATTACCTGGACTAACCTGTACCCCAGCCCATTGACTCTGTACCGGTACTCCCTGTATATAGCCTCGTTATTGTTATTTTATTGTATTTTTACTTTAGTTTATTTAGTAAATATTTCTCTTAAAACTGCATTGTTGGTTAAGGGCTTGTAAGTAAACATTTCACGGCTGTTGTATTCGGCGCATGTGACAAATATGATTTGATAAAGGAGAGGCTAGAGGGATGGAGGGAATAGTGATGGAGGAGGGGATAGTGATGGAGGAGGGGATAGTGATGGAGGAGGATGGAGGGGATAGTGATGGAGGAGGGGATAGTGATGGAGGAGGGGAAAGTGTAAAGGAGGATGGAGGGGATAGTGATGGAGGAGGGGATAGTGATGGAGGAGGGGAAAGTGTAAAGGAGGATGGAGGGGATAGTGGCTGGCTGGCTGGCTGGCTGGCTGGCTGGCTGGCTGGCTGGCTGGCCGACTGTTCTGAGGCTGAACCAGCTCCCTGCCTGGGAGTGTGTTTCTGAATCTATCTGAAAGGTCACTGGGAGTGTATGTGTTCCTTCATGTTAACCATCTGAAAGGCTGTTATGAACTGATGACAAACAGGTTATGATGGCCTACTCCACTGTGTTATGATGGCCTACTCCACTGTGTTATGATGGCCTACTCTACTGTGTTATGATGGCCTACTCCACTGTGTTATGATGGCCTACTCTACTGTGTTATGATGGCCTACTCCACTGTGTTATGATGGCCTACTCCACTGTGTTATGATGGCCTACTCCACTGTGTTATGATGGCCTACTCCACTGTGTTATGATGGCCTACTCCACTGTGTTATGATGGCCTACTCCACTGTGTTATGATGGCCTACTCCACTGTGTTATGATGGCCTACTCCACTGTGTTATGATGGCCTACTCCACTGTGTTATGATGGCCTACTCCACTGTGTTAGGTTGGTATATGAGGCCTACTGTTTTAACTGTTATGATGGTTCAGGGCCTTGAAAAAACATTTGCCCCCTTTCTGATTTTCTCTGTTTTTGCATATTTTTGATACTGAATGTTATGTTGATAATTCTCTTCCATTGGTTTACATGAGACACTGTAAAACGCTGGCAAAGATTTTTAGCTCCATGTCAACGGACTCAAAATGGCTAACGTTACTTATTTAGCCAGTGAACCAGCCATAACATAGCGATCCTATTTAGCCAGTGAACCAGCCATAACATAGCGATCCTATTTAGCCAGTGAACCAGCCATAACATAGCGATCCTATTTAGCCAGTGAACCAGCCATAACATGGCGATCCTATTTAGCCAGTGAACCTGCCATAACATGGCGATCCTATTTAGCCAGTGAACCTGCCATAACATGGCGATCCTATTTAGCCAGTGAACCAGCCATAACATGGCGATCCTATTTAGCCAGTGAACCAGCCATAACATGGCGATCCTATTTAGCCAGTGAACCTGCCATAACATGGCGATCCTATTTAGCCAGTGAACCTGCCATAACATGGCGATCCTATTTAGCCAGTGAACCTGCCATAACATGGCGATCCTATTTAGCCAGTGAACCTGCCATAACATGGCGATCCTATTTAGCCAGTGAACCAGCCATAACATGGCGATCCTATTTAGCCAGTGAACCTGCCATAACATGGCGATCCTATTTAGCCAGTGAACCTGCCATAACATGGCGATCCTATTTAGCCAGTGAACCAGCCATAACATGGCGATCCTATTTAGCCAGTGAACCAGCCATAACATGGCGATCCTATTTAGCCAGTGAACCAGCCATAACATGGCGATCCTATTTAGCCAGTGAACCAGCCATAACATGGCGATCCTATTTAGCCAGTGAACCAGCCATAACATGGCGATCCTATTTAGCCAGTGAACCAGCCATAACATGGCGATCCTATTTAGCCAGTGAACCAGCCATAACATGGCGATCCTATTTAGCCAGTGAACCAGCCATAACATGGCGATCCTATTTAGCCAGTGAACCAGCCATAACATGGCGATCCTATTTAGCCAGTGAACCAGCCATAACATGGCGATCCTATTTAGCCAGTGAACCAGCCATAACATGGCGATCCTATTTAGCCAGTGAACCAGCCATAACATGGCGATCCTATTTAGCCAGTGAACCAGCCATAACATGGCAATCCTATTTAGCCAGCGAACCAGCCATAACATGGCGATCCTATTTAGCCAGCGAACCTGCCATAACATGGCGATCCTATTTAGCCAGCGAACCTGCCATAACATGGCGATCCTATTTAGCCAGTGAACCTGCCATAACATGGCGATCCTATTTAGCCAGTGAACCTGCCATAACATGGCGATCCTATTTAGCCAGTGAACCTGCCATAACATGGCGATCCTATTTAGCCAGTGAACCAGCCATAACATGGCGATCCTATTTAGCCAGTGAACCAGCCATAACATGGCGATCCTATTTAGCCAGTGAACCAGCCATAACATGGCGATCCTATTTAGCCAGTGAACCAGCCATAACATGGCGATCCTCTAGATGCCGTTTGCATCCCGGATGGTTGCAGACATCTTACATTACGTTGGAGTGCATATAGATGGTTATTTTACATTACGTTGGAGTGCATATAGATGGTTATTTTACATTACGTTGGAGTGCATATAGATGGTTATTTTACATTACGTTGGAGTGCATATAGATGGTTATTTTACATTACGTTGGAGTGCATATAGATGTTTATTTTACATTACGTTGGAGTGCATATAGATGGTTATTTTACATTACGTTGGAGTGCATATAGATGGTTATTTTACATTACGTTGGAGTGCATATAGATGGTTATTTTACATTACGTTGGAGTGCATATAGATGTTTATTTTACATTACGTTGGAGTGCATATAGATGGTTATTTTACATTACGTTGGAGTGCATATAGATGGTTATTTTACATTACGTTGGAGTGCATATAGATGGTTATTTTACATTACGTTGGAGTGCATATAGATGGTTATTTTACATTACGTTGGAGTGCATATAGATGGTTATTTTACATTACGTTGGAGTGCATATAGATGTTTATTTTACATTACGTTGGAGTGCATATAGATGGTTATTTTACATTACGTTGGAGTGCATATAGATGGTTATTTTACATTACGTTGGAGTGCATATAGATGGTTATTTTACATTACGTTGGAGTGCATATAGATGGTTATTTTACATTACGTTGGAATGCATATAGATGGTTATTTTACATTACGTTGGAGTGCATATAGATGGTTATTTTACATTACGTTGGAGTGCATATAGATGGTTATTTTACATTACGTTGGAGTGCATATAGATGTTTATTTTACATTACGTTGGAGTGCATATAGATGTTTATTTTACATTACGTTGGAGTGCATATAGATGGTTATTTTACATTACGTTGGAGTGCATATAGATGGTTATTTTACATTACGTTGGAGTGCATATAGATGGTTATTTTACATTACGTTGGAGTGCATATAGATGGTTATTTTACATTACGTTGGAGTGCATATAGATGGTTATTTTACATTACGTTGGAGTGCATATAGATGGTTATTTTACATTACGTTGGAGTGCATATAGATGTTTATTTTACATTACGTTGGAGTGCATATAGATGGTTATTTTACATTACGTTGGAGTGCATATAGATGGTTATTTTACATTACGTTGGAGTGCATATAGATGGTTATTTTACATTACGTTGGAGTGCATATAGATGGTTATTTTACATTACGTTGGAGTGCATATAGATGGTTATTTTACATTACGTTGGAGTGCATATAGATGGTTATTTTACATTGAACACTGACCAGATGGGAGGCTTTCAAAGCATATATTAAGGGGCAAATTATTTCAAATCAAGTTTCAAATCAATTAAATCTGAAAATGAGAGAGATGGACATCAAAAATTGAGAATTGGAGAGGGAAGCTATTTTTTGGGTAAACCAGGAATTATTTGCTCTTAAAGCTCAGTATGAAGAACTGTCCACCTCAAAGGCTGCAAAAAGCTTAACGAGGCTGAAATAGTCCTTCAATGACCAAGGTGAAAAATCTGGTAAATTGCTGGCCTGGCTCATTTAAGAAGTTACATTCAGACAGAGCCATTAATGCAATTGTCAATGAATCCTGTAGAAATAAAACAAACATTTGCTTCCATATCTAATACACAAAGACCAAAATGGCTTTGTGAAAAACCGTCAAGGTTTGAAGAGTACTACACATGGTGACGTGTGAACGGTCCCCTGACACCGCCACTCTCACCTGATGCAGAGAAGGCGTTCGGTAGAGTTGAGTGGTCTTATTTATTTTAAGTGCTTTAAGAGATTTGGGTTTGGCGACTACTTCTGTAAATGGATTAAGATTTTATATACCGACCCCACTGCAGAAGTTGCCACTAACAATTTGATTTCACAACCTTTTTTAAGCTTTTTCGAAGCACGAGACAAGGATGTCCGGCCAGTCCAGGACGACTCCTTTTAGCTATAGAACCCTTTGCCATTGCAGTAAGGGCCCACCCGTCAATTAGTGGAATTAAAACATCAGATTTTGAACATCGAGTGGCCCTGTATGCCGATGATACACTCTTATTCCTAACAGATCTAAAGAATTCTATCTCTTCCCTCTCCAATTTAATGAATAACTTTGGCCAGTTTTCTGGGTTTAAAGTTAATAAAACCAATTCTTCCATTCTTTTCCTCAACAAGCAAGAGAGACTGAATCTAGTCAGCATCCATTTGTGACACAGTTTCACATATCTTGGGATTAAAATCACACCAGAAATTAGCCCCTTGAGTTCAACAAACTATGAACCCATGGTAACGAGCGTAACCGACTCCATCAACAGATGAACTTCATTGCAGCCTGTATCTATTATTGATATAATAAATATCATTAAGATTAATATTCTGCCCAAATGTCTTTTATCTAGTCAATTCCTCTAGCTCCACCACCACCGTTTATTGTTCCCAAAGATCAGAAAGATACTCTCACATTTTGATGTGGAGCAACAGAAAACCAAGGCTTAGACTTTCTCTTCTTTATTTGGCCTTATGACAGAGGGGGGTTACAACTTCCAAACCTACAGTGGTATTACTGGGCTGCACAACTGAGGGCTTCAATATTTTTGGTTCTCTAAGAAACTATACTTAGCCTGGCTGCAGACTGAAATGTTGTCCACAAAAGGCTTAACTTTGGATGGATATTTGTACTCTGCTACCCTTTAAGAAGTTAAAGATGAATACCACTAATCCCTTTGTTAAAAACAACCTTAATATATGGCACAAAGTACAGCAATGTCTGGGCGAATCCCCTGGATTATCCAGTTTCACACCAATTTGGGGCAATGACAATTTCACACCTGGTAAAGAATGGCCAAGAAAAGGTATTGTTAAAGTAATAGACAATGAAAAAGGGCTCATGTCATTTGAAGGACTAAAGGGAAACTTTAACTGACCACAAAAGCATTTTTTACAATACTTACAATTTAAGAAGCTTTATAAATTTTTTGAGGTGGCAGAACAGACTGCTCAGGTTGGGGTGTAGGGTTTGAGCATAGCCTGAAGGTATGGAGGGGCAGTTCCTCTTGCTGTTCCGTTGGTAAGCACCATGGTCTTGTAGTGGATGAGAGCTTCGACTGGAAACCAGTGGAGAGTCTGGAGGAGCGGGGTGACATGAGAGAACTTGGGAAGGTTGAAAACCAGGTGTGCTGCTGCGTTCTAAGTAAGTTTCAGGGGTTTGATGGCACAAGCAGGGAGCCCAGCCAACAGCGAGTTGCAGTAGTCCAGACGGTAGATGACAAGTGCCTGGATTAGGACCTGTGCCGCTTTCTGCGTAAGGTAGGGTCGTACTCTGCGAATGTTGTAGAGCATGAACCTACAGGATCGGGTCACCGCTTTGATGTTAGCGGAGAACGACAGGATGTTGTCCAGGGTCACGCCAAGGTTCTTTGCACTCTGGGAGGAGGACACAATGGAGTTGTCAACCGTGATGGCAAGATCATGGAGCGGGCAGTCATTCCCAGGGAGGAAGAGCACCTCCGTCTTGCCGAGGTTCAGCTTGAGGTGGTGATCCGTCATCCACACTGATATGTCTGCCAGACTAGGACCTGCACCGCTTCCTGTGTGAAGTAGGGTCGTACTCTACGGATGTTGTAGAGCAGGAACCTACAGGAGCGGGTCACTGCTTTGATGTTTGCAGAGAAGACAGGGTGTTGTCAAGGGTCATGCCAAGGTTCTTTGCACTCTGGGAGGGCGTCACTGTGGAGTTGTCAACCATGACGGAGAGGTGTTTGAGCGGGCAGGCCTTCCCATTGAGGAAGAGCAGTTCTGTCTTGTCGAGGTTGAGCTTGAGGGGTGGGCTGACATCCAAGCTGAGATATCTGCCAGGCACGCAGAGATGCGTGTTGCCACCTGGGTGTCAGAATGGGGGAAGGAGAAAAGTAGTTGAGTGTCATTCGCATAGCAATGATGAGAGAGACCATGTGACGATATGACAGAGCCTTGGTGTATAGAGAGAAGAGAAGAGGATTTAGAACCGAGCCCTGGGGGACACCAGTGGTGATAGACAGTCACCTGGTATGAGCGGCCTGCCAGGTAGGATGCAATCCAAGAAAAATGAGAATTGTTTTATTTATTTCACCTTTATTTAACCAGGTAAGCCAGTTGAGAACAAGTTCTCATTTACAACTGCGACCTGGCCAAGATAAAGCAAAGCAGTGCGATTAAAAACAACAACACAGAGTTACATATGGGGTAAAACAAAACGTACAGTCAAAAAAATACAACAGAAAATATATATACAGTGTGTGCAAATTTAGCAAGTTATGGAGGTAAGGCAATAAATAGGCTATAGTGAAAAATAATTATAATTAGTATTAACACTGGAATGATAGATGTGCAAGAGATGATGTGCAAATAGAGATACTGGGGTGCAAATTAGCAAAATAAATAACAATGTAAATTACAATATGGGGATGAGGTAGTTGGGTGGGCTAATTACAGATGGGCTGTGTACAGGTACAGTGATCGGTAAGGTGCTCTGACAACTGATGCTTAAAGTTAGTGAGGGAGATAAGAGTCTCCAGCTTCAGAGATTTTTGCAATTTGTTCCAGTCATTGGCAGCAGAGAACTGGAAGGAATGGCGGCCAAAGGAGGTGTTGGCTTTGGGAATGACCAGTGAGATATACCTGCTGGAGCGCAGACTACGGGTGGGTGCTGCTATGGTGACCAATGAGCTAAGATAAGGCAGGGATTTGCCTAGCAGTGATTTATAGATGGCCTGGAGCCAGTGGGTTTGGTGACGAATATGTAGTGAGGGCCAGCCAACGAGAGCGTACAGGTCACAGTGGTGGGTAGTGTATGGGGCTTTGGAGACAAAACGGATGGCACTGTGATAGACTACATCCAATTTGCTGAGTAGAGTGTTGGAGGCTATTTTGTAAATGACATCGCCGAAGTCAAGGATCGGTAGGATAGTCAGTTTTACGAGGGCATGTTTGGCAGCATGAGTGAAGGAGGCTTTGTTGCGAAATAGGAAGCCGATTCTAGATTTCACTTTGGATTGGAGATGCTTAATGTGAGTCTGGAAGGAGAGTTTACAGTCTAACCAGACACCTAGGTATTTCTAGTTGTCCACATACTCTAGGTCAGAACCGCCGAGAGTAGTGATTCTAGTCGGGTGGGCGGGTGCCAGCAGCGTTCGATTGAAGAGCATGCATTTAGTTTTACTAGTGTTTAAGAGCAGTTGGAGGCTACGGAAGGAGTGTTGCATGGCGTTGAAGCTCGTTTGGAGGTTTGTTAACACAGTGTCCAGTGAAGGGCCAGATGTATACAAAATGGTGTCGTCTGCGTAGAGGTGGATCTGAGAGTCACCAGCAGCAAGAGCGACATCATTGATATACACAGAGAATAGAGTCGGCCCGAGAATTGAACCCTGTGGCACCCCCATAGAGACTGCCAGAGGTCCAGACAACAGGCCCTCCAATTTGACACATTGAACTCTATCTGAGAAGTAGTTGGTGAACCAGGCGAGGCAGTCATTTGAGAAACCAAGGCTATTTAGTCTGCCAATAAGAATGTGGTGGTTGACAGAGTCGAAAGCCTTGGCCAGGTCGATGATGACGGTTGCACAGTACTGTCTATTATCGGTCGCGGTTATAATATCGTTTAGGACCTTGAGCGTGGCTGAGGTGCACCCATGACCAGCTCGGAAACCGAATGAGAGTTAAATGTAATTTGCTGAGATTATCCCTAAACTTTGCATCCTAAATCTTTACCCAGAGATTATCTCTTTAATGGTTGACCTCTGTCTATTACAAGCTAGAAGTTCAATTGCTCTCCACTGGAAGTACAGTGCATTCGGAAAGTATTCAGACCCCTTTACTTTTTCCACATTGTGTTACGTTACAGCCTTATTCTAAAATGGATGAAATAGTTTTTAATTTTATTTTTTCCTCATCAATCTACACACAGTACCCTATAATGACAGTCAAAATAGGTTTCTATAATTTTTTGCACATTTTATAAAAAATGTAAAACAGAAATATCACATTTACATAAATATTCAGACCCTTTACTCAGTACTTTGTTGAAGCACCTTTGGCAGTGATTACAGCCTTGAGTCTTCTTGGGTATGATACTACAAGCTTGGCACACCTGTATTTGGGGAGTTTCTCCCAGTCTTCTCTGCAGATCCTCTCAAGCTCTGTCAGGTTGGATGGGGAGCGTCGCTGCACAGCTATTTTCAGGTCTCTCCAGAGATGTTCGATCGGGTTCAAGTCCGGGCTCTGGCTGGGCCACTCAAGGACATTCAGAGACTTGTCCCGAAGCCACTCCTGCGTTGTTTTGGCTGTGTGCTTAGGGTTGTTGTCCTGTTGGAAGGTGAACCGTCGCCCCAGTCTGAGGTCCTGAGCGTTCTGGAGCAGGTTTTCATCAAGGATCTCTCTGTACTTTGCTCCGTTCATCTTTTCCCTCAATCCTGACTAGTCTCCCAGTCCCTGCTGCTGAAAAACACCCCACAGCATGATACTGCCAACGCCATGCTGCACCGTAGGGATGGTGCCAGGTTTCCTCCAGACATGACGCTTGGCATGGGTTAGTGCTGGATGTTTTGGGGTTAGTGCTGGGTGTTTTTGGGTTAGTGCTGGATGTTTTTGGGTTAGTGCTGGATGTTTTTGGGTTAGTGCTGGATGTTTTTGGGTTAGTGCTGGATGTTTTTGGGTTAGTGCTGGATGTTTTTGGGTTAGTGCTGGATGTATTGGGGTTAGTGCTGGATGTTTTTGGGTTTGGGTTAGTGCTGGATGTTTTTGGGTTTGGGTTAGTGCTGGATGTCTTGGGGTTTGGGTTAGTGCTGGATGTCTTGGGGTTTGGGTTAGTGCTGGATGTTTTTGGGTTAGTGTTAGTGCTGGATGTTTTTGGGTTAGTGTTAGTGCTGGGTGTTTTTGGGTTAGGGTTAGTGCTGGGTGTTTTTGGGTTAGTGCTGGGTGTTTTTGGGTTAGTGCTGGGTGTTTTTGGGTTAGTGCTGGGTGTTTTTGGGATAGTGCTGAATGTTTTTGGGTTAGGGTTAGTGCTGGGTGTTTTTGGGTTAGTGCTGGGTGTTTTTGGGTTAGTGCTGGGTGTTTTTGGGATAGTGCTGAATGTTTTTGGGTTAGGGTTAGTGCTGGGTGTTTTTGGGTTAGTGCTGGGTGTTTTGGGGTTAGTGCTGGGTGTTTTTGGGATAGTGCTGAATGTTTTTGGGTTAGGGTTAGTGCTGGGTGTTTTGGGGTTAGTGCTGGGTGTTTTGGGGTAAAAAAAAAATGGTTTACCTTTTCTCTAAATAAGCTTTGTTCTACAATTTAAAGGTAAAATAGTAAAATACACTACATTTCAAACAGTCAGCAATAATCTAATGAATTCAGGGCTTGTGAAATTATACCCAGGCTGAATATAAGCCTTCATAACCATAAGACCCACTAATAATTATTGTATCAAAATAGTTTTTCCTGCTTTTCTGCAATAATCACTGATCTGGCTTTCAAGTCAGTCTATGAAAATGCCCCTTTTGTTCCAAATCTAACCAGAACCATGCATAATGACACATTAACTAATAATGTAGCAGACATTATAGAACATTAACACAGGTCTCATAAACACTCTCTCGTGCACAAGTCGATGTTCTAGTGAGGCGCCAGCTAATATGTATATTTCAAGTTTATTTGCTAGCTAACAAGGCAGAACGGTTGAATTGTTATGAACACACCCTTCTGTCCGTCTCCAACTGTTTGAACAGCATGTTAGCCTGTCCACTTTGTTCAGATGTTGAAATCAAGTGAGAGAACGAGTTGCTAATTAATTATAGAATTGTTTCATGCTTATTGCACATTTATGAAGCAAGGACTAGACAGCTAGTATAACAGTCTTTGGCTAAAATACTGCTAGCGGGAACTTTTAACGCAATGCTGCGTGTGACAAACATTTTGAGGAGTTGAGACATAAACAGGGTAGCGTTAGAAGGGTTAACTTCTCCTCCATTACAAATGTCTCAATGTGTTTCGGTGTCCATATGACCGATTCTGTTGGACCAAACCTCGAATGCACACAGCGAGTTGAAACCATTAGTCAGAGAGGAAGAAGCGGTCGCTCGTCTTTGGCAGGGGGAGGGGCTTGGGTTGTGTGTTTTGTGTATAAACTGAGAGGAAGAAGCGGTCGCTCGTCTTTGTTGTTGTGAGTGGCAGGGGGAGGGGCTTGGGTTGTGTGTTTTGTGTATAAACTGAGAGGAAGAAGCGGTCGCTCGTCTTTGTTGTTGTGAGTGGCAGGGGGAGGGGCTTGGGTTGTGTGTTTTGTGTATAAACTGAGAGGAAGAGGCGACGCAAGAGGATTCACTCTCCTCAAAATCTGTCCAATGCGTTTCTAAGGGCCTGTTTTGGACCTAAGCTTGTCGCCTGCCTTACCGCCTTTGGGACAACGATATTGTTAGGGCGGAGACATGATCATCTCCTCATTATATACAGCTCTCTGGTGTAAATGGGGAGGTGCAGAGCACAGAAGGAGTGAAGGAGACGAGACTAGATCTCTGGTGTAAATGGGGAGGTACACAGTACAGAAGGAGTGAAGGGGAGGAGACCAGATCTCTGGTGTAAATGGGGAGGTGTAGAGTACAGAAGGAGTGAAGGAGACGAGACTAGATCTCTGGTGTAAATGGGGAGGTACACAGTACAGAAGGAGTGAAGGGGAGGAGACCAGATCTCTGGTGTAAATGGGGAGGTGCAGAGCACAGAAGGAGTGAAGGAGATGAGACTAGATCTCTGGTGTAAATGGGGAGGTACACAGTACAGAAGGAGTGAAGGGGAGGAGACCAGATCTCTGGTGTAAATGGGGAGGTGTAGAGTACAGAAGGAGAGGAGACCAAAAAGACAGGAGAACAAGCGGACATCAATGCAAAAAAATAAAATAATAATGTATGCAGGCATTTGGAATATCGCGCAAAAACATACATTCGAAATAATCCAATTAATTTGATATCGCCCAGCCCTACTCCGACATTCCGGTGCAAGGCCTCGTTATTAGGTCAGGGCCAGCGTAATCAGGAGGGAGATTCCAGGTAACAACTCTGGATGTTAGTGGTCCAACATCCCTCCAGCTAGTAAGATCTCTGGATGTTAGTGGTCCAACATTCCCTCCTCCTGGTAAGATCTCTGGATGTTAGTGGTCCAACATTCCCTCCTCCAGGTAACATCTCTGGATGTTAGTGGTCCAACATTCCCTCCAGCTGGTAAGATCTCTGGATGTTAGTGGTCCAACATTCCCTCCAGCTTCCCAGATCAGATCCCCCTCTGTAACATTACCTGTGGACTGAACCCTCCTGGGAGTGATATCATACTGAACCCTCCTGGGAGTGATATCATACTGAACCCTCCTGGGAGTGATATCATACTGAACCCTCCTGGGAGTGATATCATACTGAACCCTCCTGGGAGTGATATCATACTGAACCCTCCTGGGAGTGATATCATACTGAACCCTCCTGGGAGTGATATCATACTGAACCCTCCTGGGAGTGATATCATACTGAACCCTCCTGGGAGTGATATCATACTGAACCCTCCTGGGAGTGATATCATACTGAACCCTCCTGGGAGTGATATCATACTGAACCCTCCTGGGAGTGATATCATACTGAACCCTCCTGGGAGTGATATCATACTGAACCCTCCTGGGAGTGATATCATACTGAACCCTCCTGGGAGTGATTTCATTACTGAACCCTCCTGGGAGTGATATCATACTGAACCCTCCTGGGAGTGATATCATACTGAACCCTCCTGGGAGTGATATCATACTGAACCCTCCTGGGAGTGATATCATACTGAACCCTCCTGGGAGTGATATCATACTGAACCCTCCTGGGAGTGATATCATACTGAACCCTCCTGGGAGTGATATCATACTGAACCCTCCTGGGAGTGATATCATACTGAACCCTCCTGGGAGTGATATCATACTGAACCCTCCTGGGAGTGATATCATACTGAACCCTCCTGGGAGTGATATCATACTGAACCCTCCTGGGAGTGATATCATACTGAACCCTCCTGGGAGTGATATCATACTGAACCCTCCTGGGAGTGTTATCATACTGAACCCTCCTGGGAGTGATATCATACTGAACCCTCCTGGGAGTGATATCATACTGAACCCTCCTGGGAGTGTTATCATACTGAACCCTCCTGGGAGTGATATCATACTGAACCCTCCTGGGAGTGATATCATACTGAACCCTCCTGGGAGTGATATCATACTGAACCCTCCTGGGAGTGATATCATACTGAACCCTCCTGGGAGTGATATGATACTGAACCCTCCTGGGAGTGATATCATACTGAACCCTCCTGGGAGTGATATCATACTGAACCCTCCTGGGAGTGATATCATACTGAACCCTCCTGGGAGTGATATCATACTGAACCCTCCTGGGAGTGATATCATACTGAACCCTCCTGGGAGTGATATCATACTGAACCCTCCTGGGAGTGATATCATACTGAACCCTCCTGGGAGTGATATCATACTGAACCCTCCTGGGAGTGATTATCATACTGAACCCTCCTGGGAGTGATATCATACTGAACCCTCCTGGGAGTGATATCATACTGAACCCTCCTGGGAGTGTTATCATACTGAACCCTCCTGGGAGTGATATCATACTGAACCCTCCTGGGAGTGATATCATACTGAACCCTCCTGGGAGTGATATCATACTGAACCCTCCTGGGAGTGATATCATACTGAACCCTCCTGGGAGTGATATCATACTGAACCCTCCTGGGAGTGATATCATACTGAACCCTCCTGGGAGTGATATCATACTGAACCCTCCTGGGAGTGATATCATACTGAACCCTCCTGGGAGTGATATCATACTGAACCCTCCTGGGAGTGATATCATACTGAACCCTCCTGGGAGTGATATCATACTGAACCCTCCTGGGAGTGATATCATACTGAACCCTCCTGGGAGTGATATCATACTGAACCCTCCTGGGAGTGATATCATACTGAACCCTCCTGGGAGTGATATCATACTGAACCCTCCTGGGAGTGATATCATACTGAACCCTCCTGGGAGTGATATCATACTGAACCCTCCTGGGAGTGATATCATACTGAACCCTCCTGGGAGTGATATCATACTGAACCCTCCTGGGAGTGTTATCATACTGAACCCTCCTGGGAGTGATATCATACTGAACCCTCCTGGGAGTGATATCATACTGAACCCTCCTGGGAGTGATATCATACTGAACCCTCCTGGGAGTGATATCATACTGAACCCTCCTGGGAGTGATATCATACATTTCTGAAAATATGTGGATTCATTCATGCCTGAGTATAAAGGCTTAGCTATGTCAGCATGTTGACACATACTTTTCCGAAGTTAAAATATTCTACAAATATGTAAGTGGGTGCACACGCATCAGGTGCTAATCTTGAACATATCTCACCCCAGATATCTCCCTGGACTCATACGGTGGCAGGGAGGTCTGGATTGGATGCATGTAGAAACTCCCATTATGGAGAATATCCTAGCTCTATATATGAAATGAAGGTATATCTGGAGCATGTCTACTCCTTGTATCTAATAAAATATGTAGATGAAGATATCCCCTCATATTGACCATTTTCACCCAGTGGTGTGTGTTGGGGAGACAGACAGAGAAAGGGACAGTGTGAAATGACTATTGATCCGTAACTATTGATCCGTAACTATTGATCTTTGTCTAAAGTGAGAAACACAAGGACAGGAGAACAGGTTGTTTTGCAACAGGCTGTCGATAAAGCTTTTGAATGTTGCCCCGTCGGCGTTCCTTGGCCTGAATCAGGCTGTCAATTAAAGCTTTTGAATGTTGCCCCGTCGGCGTTCCTTGGCCTGGATCAGGCTGTCAATTAAAGCTTTTGAATGTTGCCCCGTCGGCGTTCCCTGACATTTACATCTCATTAGCATAACAGAGGTGTCATGACACAGCCGTGACTGGTAACTTTTTATTCTGTTTAGTCATTTTTTGTTTTCAGAGGGGGGTCAAATCAAAGATAGCCCCCCCCTCAGTCCCTATCATCACTCCCCACCCCCCCTCCACCTACCCGACCCGAAGAAAGCATGCCTCCCACCCCTTCCCTTGTTAAATACAGTTGGTAGGGCATGGCGTTTGCAACGCCAGGGTTGTGGGTTCGATTCCCACGGGGGACAATTAGGATTCCATAATCTCGAGTCTTCTTGGGTATGACGCTACAAGCTTGGCACACCTGTATTTGGGGAGTTTCTCCCGTTCTTCGTTGCAGATCTTCTCAAGCTCTGTCAGGTTGGATGGGGAGCATCGCTGTACAGATATTTTCAGTTCTCTCCAGAGATGTTTGATCGGGTTCAAGTCCGGACTCTGGCTGGGCCACTCAAGGACATTCATTCAGAGACTTGTCCCGAAGCCACTCCTGCATTGTCTTGGCTGTGTGCTTAGGTTCGTTGTCCTGTTGGAAGGTGAACCTTCGCCCCAGTCTGATGTCCTGAGCGCTCTGGAGCAGGTTTTCATCAAGGATCTCTCTGTACTTTGCTCCGTTCATCTTTCCCTCGATCCTGACTAGTCTCCCAGTCCCTGCTGCTGAAAAACATCCCCACAGCATGATGCTGCCACCACTATGCTTCACCGTAGGGATGGTGCCAGGTTTCATCCAGATGTGACGCTTGGCATTCAGGCCAAAAGAGTTCAATCTTGGTTTTATCAGACCAGAGAATCTTGTTTCTCATGGTCTGAGAGTCCTTTAGGTGCCTTTTGTCAAACTCCAAGCGGGCTGTCATTTGCCTTTTACTGAGTAGTGGCTTCCGTCTGGCCACTCTACCATAATGGCCTGATTGGTGGAGTGCTGCAGAGATGGTTGTCCTTCTGGAAGGTTCTCCCATCTCCACAGACAAATTCTGGAGCTCTGTCAGAGTGACCATCAGGTTCTTGGTCACCTCCCCGACCAAGGCCCTTCTCCCCCGATTGCTCCGTTTGGCCGGGCGGCCAGCTCTAGGAAGAGTCTTGGTGGTTCCAAACTTCTTCCATTTAAGAATGATGGAGGCCACTGTGTTCTTGGGGACCTTCTTCAATGCTGCAGAAATGTTTTGGTACCCTTCCCCAGATCTGTGCCTCGACACAATGCTGTCTCCGAGTTTTACGAACAATTCCTTCGACCTCATGGCTTGGTTTTGCTCTGACATGCACTGTCAACTGTGGGACCTTATATAGACAGGTGTGTACCTTTCCAAATCATGTCCAATCAATTGAATTTACCACAGGTGGACTCTAATCTAGTTGTAGAAACATCTCAAGGATGATCAATGGAAACAAGATGCACCTGAGCTCAATTTTGAGTCTCATAGCAAAGGGTCTGAATACTTATGTAAATAAGAAAAATTTAAATAAGAAAACATGGATTTAATCCATTTTAGAATACGGCTGTAACGTAACGTGGAAAAAGTGAAGGGGTCTGAATACTTTCTGAATGCACTGTAAGGAATTTGAAATAATTTATACTTTTACTTTTGATACATAAGTATATTTTAGCAATTACATTTACTTTTAGTACTTAAGTATATTTAAAACCAAATACTTTGACTTTTACTCAAGTAGTATTTTACTGGGTGACGCATTTTCTATTAAGGTACAGCATCTTTACTTTTACTCAAGTATGACAATTGGGTACTTTTTCCACTACTGGAAAAAATGGAGGCGTAGATAATAGTATGAAATCAATTAGTTAGAATGATTTGTGCCTGTTTGAGTAGAAAGTGTACTCTTTTTAGTAAATGCTGGAGAGCCTTGGTTGCGTGTGGATTGTAGTTGGTTGGTCTTATTAGAGAATCAGAACACGTTAGAGCAAATTTAATAAAGGCAGTTTTCTTTTCATTATGGATCAATTTAAGGAAGGTGATTCTGCCGTCTTGGTCTTTACCAAGGACGGTGATTTTAGAGTTTCTTATGTATCATTATGAAAACACCTTTTAGTTTTGTTTGGGGCTGATGGGGAAAAAAGCAGCCAGTTTGTATAAATGGTTCTCTATTCTATGTGAGTCCTTTTGGAGTAGGGGTGTTTCCTGGGGCATTACTTATATCAATGTGGTCTCTTGCCAGGATATAAAGACAGCTGGAGTGTTTAATAGGTGATATTTAAGCCTTTCAAATACCGAGAGAGTAGCTAGCGTTGCCATTGTTTGAAAATGAAAAGAATGTATTATTAATGATGTAATTGTTATCTTTAGTGTTAATAAGGATGTGACCCACAGGGAAACCTACCCAATATAACAAATGTCTCATTGTTGTTATTGTTAGTGGGGGTATTTTTGTAATAATCATCTTTTTTTGTTTGTTGCTTTTGCCCAATCTGATTGGGTGGGCCTGGCTCCCCAGTGGGTGGGCCTGTGTCCACCCAGGCCCACCCATACCTACGCCCCTGGTCTAAATTACCTTAAACATATATATATATATTATTTTTTTTATATAGGAATTGTGTGGAAGCCCAAATGGGACTGGCCATATATCCTAAACAGTTCAGCCCATAGGGATGCAATGTGCTGTATCCCCACAAGGAAGCAACCTCGGTACGGCACTTCAATATACACTGAGTTTACAAAACACTAAGGCGTTGAAAGCGTTCCACAGGGATGCTGGCCCACGTTGACCCCGATGCTTTCCCACAGTCGTCAAGTTGCCTGGATGATGTCCTTTGGATGCTGGCCCACGTTGACCCCGATGCTTTCCCACAGTCGTCAAGTTGCCTGGATGATGTCCTTTGGATGCTGGCCCACGTTGACCCCGATGCTTTCCCACAGTCGTCAAGTTGGCTGGATGATGTCCTTTGGATGCTGGCCCACGTTGACCCCAATGCTTTCCCATAGTCGTCAAGTTGGCTGGATGATGTCCTTTGGATGCTGGCCCACGTTGACCCCGATGCTTTCCCACAGTCGTCAAGTTGGCTGGATGATGTCCTTTGGATGCTGGCCCACGTTGACCCCAATGCTTTCCCATAGTCGTCAAGTTGGCTGGATGATGTCCTTTGGATGCTGGCCCACGTTGACCCCGATGCTTTCCCACAGTCGTCAAGTTGGCTGGATGATGTCCTTTGGGTGCTGGCCCACGTTGACCCCGATGCTTTCCCACAGTCGTCAAGTTGGCTGGATGATGTCCTTTGGATGCTGGCCCACGTTGACCCCGATGCTTTCCCACAGTCGTCAAGTTGGCTGGATGATGTCCTTTGGGTGGTGGACCATTCTTGATACACGCAGGAAACTGTTGAGCGGCGTGGAAAAACCCAGCAGCGTTGCAGTTCTTGACACAAACCGGTGATTATGACACAAATATTAGGTACAAAAGTAAACTTAGCAACATGTAGTAGTATATTTTTATTCTACTGTTTATTTGGCGCTGTGGCAATGTTTGACTTTGGGTCGCTGTAGACGACAGTCTGCTCCTTTCTGCACTCCACAGCCCAGTGGATAAGCCTCTCCCTGAAGTGGTGGGTTCTGCTTTGACCTCTTGCAGAAGATTTGTTTGTACTGCAAGTCTCCTGGAAAGACATAAAGACTGATCATGAGGATGTGTAACCAGGGCTCTAAATAAATAAATAAAAACATTTAATTGGCAGCACCGGTGCTCCCAACATAAAAAAGTTAGGAGCAGTACATGAAATTTAGGAGCACCATAATTTTTATTTATTTATTTTTTATTGATTGAGATAGTCTATCTGAATTCTAGCCACTTTTGAAGCACATGTTATACTCTAGAAACTAATATGTAAAACTGTAAAAACATTTAGTTTATTATAAAAGCAAATTGTTGATATGAATACCTGTCATGGAAATTAGTCATTTGTGGAACATTAGATTTCTACATTGTGTGTGTAAAAGCACAATTTTCCTATTCAATCAATCAATCAATCAAATGTATTTATAAAGCCCTTTTTACATCAGCTGATGTCACAAAGTGCTATACAGAAACCCAGCCTAAAACCCCAAACAGCAAGCAATGCAGATGGAGAAGCATTGAGATGCATTAAATTGTACACTGTCTCTTTAAAAACATCCAGGTTTGTGATGATGACATAAAGAGTTGTGTCCAGTCACTGCTATGATAACGACAGGTTTGTGATGTCATAAAGAGTTGTGTCCAGTCACTGCTATGATAAAGACAGGTTTGTGATGACATAAAGAGTTGTGTCCAGTCACTGCTATGATAACGACAGGTTTGTGATGACATAAAGAGTTGTGTCCAGTCACTGCTATGATAACGACAGGTTTGTGATGACATAAAGA